GCTGGGGAATTCTGGGAGTTGAAGTCCACTTGTTTTAAAGTGGCCAAGTTTGGACAACGCTGGCCTAGTGAGAGAGGTTCCTACTGAACTGTGTGAGGTGAATATAAGCTTTACGGGAATCTTCAGAGCATCTGTAAAGTTCCATGTTGGCCTTTGGAAAAGACAAACTGAGAAGAACACAACAGCCATTGAGATACACGGGGTTGACCTGGGAAGTGTGGTGCCTTTGATTTGGATGTCGTGTTTTTGTTTTGACCTTGTTGAGGCAGCTTCTCCTTTCCTCAGGTGAAGAGTGTCAAGCCATGCCTCAAGCAGCTGCAGCAGTGCATCCAGACCATCTCAACTCTTCACGATGATGAGATCCTGCCCAGCAACCCTGCAGACCTCTTCCATTGGCTGCCCAAGGAGCACATGTGTGTGCTAGTTTATCTGGTGAGCTGCTGTGTTCTGTCTGTACGGCTCCAAGAGTCTGATCTTGCCAAAATAAGTTATGCAAGCTTGATTGCACTGATCCTGTCTAACAGTGGCTTTTCAGGATCAGTGGCAAAGCGAGAAGCCTTTTACATATCAAGAATGAGCTCTCTGTTTCTCCTTTAACATCATCATGCAATATCCTAACTGTAGTTGCAATAGTCAGCATGGTGGGGGTGAATTATTGGTTTCCCATTGAATTGCCATTGGGAGATTTTTGTTTTTGTTTTACAATATATCCCAAAGAACTCATGCCTAGGGTTTAATCATCAGCAGGTGGTGAGAAAGGCCTCAGCATGTGGCTCTGAAGAGCCGCCATTCATATTAACAAGACAACACTGAGCTGAATGAGCTCACAATATTGCAACACCATAGTTTTCCCAAGGGCATCATAGCTCATTGATGGAGTCCTTTCTTTGCTTGCAGAAATGACCCAGTTTTAGTCCCTGGACCTTCAGGTAGCAGGGTGTCTAGTAGCAGAGCTCAGAAAGGTTTTTTCCTTCTGGAGATTCTGGGGAGCTGTTACAATCAGGGATTGTCAGCATTGGATAGTTGGTCCAACGGTCTGTTATCCATTTACATTGGAGTACTTTCCATTGAATTCAGCATAGCTGACTTAAAACTGCCACCTGCTTGAGAAGGCTATGTTTAAACTTGAAGCTAGAGGTCAGGAATCCTGAAATACAGTATTAGTAACTAAAGGCATAGCATAGCAATGCTGCAACGCATTGCAGCAACCCAGAACAGCAGAAAAAGGAAACAGTCCACCTATACAACATCTTCCACCAAAATGGATATCCACGCAACTTTATCAAAAAGTGCCTGATCACTCAACCTACTACAACACACCCAACACAAGCTATGAAAATGATAACACTGCCATGTATCAGAAACGTCTCAGAAACTACCAACAGACTGTTACAAAACACACATCACTGTAGCACACAAACCAGCTAAAGCTCTCCAAAACATCTAAAGCAAACCAAAAGACCCAGTAGCCCAAGAAGAAAAAACAGGAGTCATCTACA